TGCTGGTGAGTGCATCTACTCCTGCTGGTGAGTGCATCTACTCCTGCTGGTGAGTGCATCTACTCCTGCTGGTGAGTGCATCTACTCCTGCTGGTAAATGTATCTCCCCTTGCTGGTGAGTGCATTTACTCCTGCTGATGAGTGCATCTACTCCTGCTGGGGAGTGCATCTACTACTGCTGGTGAATGCATCTACTCCTGCTGATGAGTGCATCTACTCCTGCTGATGAGTGCATCTACTCCTGCTGATGAGTGCATCTACTCCTGCTGGGGAGTGCATCTACTCCTGCTGGGGAGTGCATCTACCCTTACTGGTGAGGTCATCTACTCTTGCTGCCCCTGCAGCTGCCTTCTTTATTGATGTCAAAACCCAGCTTCTTCAGTCTTCCAACAAGAGCTGAAAAGGAACCCTCCAGGCCTGCAGCACCAGATGGCAACTGCTGAGGCATCTTGCGCGGTGGACCGAGCAGGCACTGGGGCCTCGTCTCTAGTGTACAGACACACAATGTTGGACTATGCAGACCAAACTGTGTAAGCCAATCTCATAAATTATCCCTTTGTATTATATATTCATATGTTATCAGTTCTGTTCCTCAGAGAACCCTGACTAGTACACAGACATAGAGAATCACTAAATACAGAATTCTGGATTGCTTTATAAAATAGAGGAAAGGAAAGACTGGACAGACGATTGAAGTTCAGCTGCGGCCTGGAACCTTACGGTTTGGTGAGTCGCAGACGCTCCTGAGAACAGCCCCTCATCTGGCGCGGGAGCAACTCAGTGAAAATCCTGGAGCCACCAACGCAAGCAAAACAGACATGACGGTAAAGGGGGCCTGGTTGAGAAGAGGGGGATGGGCGGGGCAGGGGACGGGAAGGGCAACGGGGTGAATATGATCAGAATAAATTACATACATAACGAGAACGTCATAATGAAACTCATCATTACATATGACTAATGATGCTGGGAGAATCATTTTTAAAATTTTTAAAATAATAATAACATCTGAGAAAATGAAAACAAAGCCCATTAGCTTTTCTAGTTACCTAGCACCCAAATAAATCTTTACTCAAAATAAATATTTTTTAAATCAAGGTTTTCAATTTTTCAGTTTATTTTTTCTTTGTACTATTTGGAAGAAATCGTGTAGTGGGCTGTATAAATCTGGGGCTAATGGCCTTTCAGAATCTCCTAGTCCAGTGAGGTTTCTGGCCTTGGATTTCAGCTCTACTCTTCTTTGTCTAGATTGTCTTCTTCAATCCGCTCTGGGCCAGCAACACGGGCTTACTTTTATCCTGTTTACTACATTAGCTTTGTTTTCACTTCAGTGGTTTCAAACTCAGTCTGAAAAGTGCCTAGAATTCAGGGACACATCCTAAAATTCAGATTGCCCTTTAGGGTGGCGTTCCTGCTCATCGTGTTTATAAAATGCTTTGTTTCTCCCTTTAAAAACTCTGGTTGAGAGCCATTACGGTGTCTCATTGATAAAGGCACCTGCTGCTAAGCCTGAAGACCTGAGTCCAATCCCCAAGACCTACATGATGGAAGGAGAGAACTGACTCCTGCAAACTGTCCTCCGACCTCCACAAGTTCCATAGAGGACGGAC